TACAGACACAACGTCTGGCTCATGACCATACTTTGATGTACATGACAATACATGACTGTACGAACATACTGCGGCTACTGAACAACATGCTGGCTACATGACAATACATGCTGCTACATGACCATAATGCTGGTACATGAACATCATGATGTACATGACACATACTTGCTGGTAATGAACATACGTGGGCTAAAGACACTACGGGGACTGCTACATGACAATACTTGTGGCTACATGCACATAAATGCTGCTAAATGACACATACTTGGGCTCATGACAATCAGCGGCTACATGACACATAATGACTGCTAAATGACACTACATGCTGGTACATGACAATCATGTGGCTCTGACATTTTACATGACTGTACATAAACCATACATGTGGCTACAGGGACACTACATGCTGGTACATGAACATACTGCGGGCTACATGACACATCTGATGCTCCCCAGACAATACATGGGGCTACATGACACATACATGATGCTACAGACACATACATGCGGGCTATGACACTACATGCTGGTCATGCACATACATGACTGCACATGAACAACATGCGGGTACATGACACTACATGACGCTACATGCACATAATCGGCTACATGAAAAATACATGCTGGCTACATGACACATACAGCTGGCTACAGAATACAGTGGCACATGCACATAATGCTGGTAATGACATTTCATGACTGTACATGACACTACTGCTGGCTAATTGACACATCATGCTGGTCATGAAATTACTGATGCTACAGGGACACATACATGATCTACATGACACATACTGTGGCTACTGACACTTACTTTGTGGCTCATGACACATCATGATGCTACATGAAAAATACTGATGTACATGAAAATAATGCTGGCTACATGACCAACATGCTGGCTACAGACACATACATGCTGGTACTGACCATAATGCTGGCTCATGACAATACATGCTGGCTACATGACACATAGTGCTGGCTCATGGAACAACATGCTGGTACATGACACTACATGTGGCTAATGACACTAATGACTGCTACATGACACTTTCATGAGCTACATGAAAATAATGTGTACAGACACATACATGATGCTACATGAACATACTGTGCAACATAAACCTTCGTGTGGCTAATGAAAATCATGATGCTACATGCACAAAAGTGCTGGTACATGACACATACATGACTGCACATGACACATACGTGTGGCTCATGACACTACTGACTGTACTGACACTTACATGACTGTACATGACACATACATGCTGGCTACATGACACATAGTGCTGGCTCATGAACATAATGCTGCTACATGACAATACATGCTGGCTAATGACACTACATGCTGGCTCATGACAATATAAATGCTACATGACACATACATGAAGCTACATGACCTTACATGCTGGCTAATGACACAAAATGCGGTAATGAACATACGACTGCTACATGACACATACATGACGCTACATGACACACACTGATGCTACTGACACCAGTGTGGCTCCAGACCTCATGATTACATGAACATACATGACTGCTACATGAACTACTGCTGCTATATACCATTTTTGCTTACTAATGAAAACCCACGGTTGTACATGACACTACTGACGCTATATGACAATACTGTTACTAATGACACAACGTGCTTGCTACAGACACATAAGGGACTGCTATATGAAATACATGCTTTACATCACACACTGCTTGCTACATGACAATACATGATGTATATAAACCCTAATGCTTATACTGAACACACGTGCTTGCAAAGACACATACATGATGTATAGGGACACTACATGCTTTTACATGACACCCGTGTTGCTACAGGGAACATACATGATGCTATATGAACTACTGTTACTACATGACAACACTGCTTGCTACATGACACATACTGACTGCTATGAACTACATGACGCTCAGGGGACACTTTCCATGACTGCTTTGACCATACATGTTATACATGAAACACGTGCTTGCTACATGAAATCATGATGTATGAACAACTGATGTACATGACCATACATGTTACTACTGAAAAACCACGTGCTGGTACATGAAAATGCTTGACTGCTCATGAACTCATGACTGTATATGAACATAATGCTTGCTACAAAAAACGCAACTGCTTGCTAATGACCATACATGACCGATCCCATATACTTAAAGGCCTGGCCCCAGACCGGGCCCGCGGGGGCGTTCCCCCCCCGGGAAATTTCTCTCAGGAAACTCCGGGAAAAACACGGGTCAGTCATGAGAACTTATGGGGCTGGTTTGTGTAACCCTGACCCAATAAACTTATGTGTCATTGAATAGTGTAGCAGCACACTACTGATGTCTCCGATTTTGAGAGGGAAAAAATCCTTCTTTCATCACTACCCTCTTTCAATTTCCCCAATCCACAATCCTCCCCTTGTCTGCCCTCCCTTCCCCATGGCCCACCTACCTCCCTCCAGATCCGTCCTCTCTTCCCCAGGTCCCCCTTCCGGATAATACGAGGCTGGTCATGTCTGGGGACCATTACTGGCCAGCAGCTGGGGCAAGAAGGCACTATCCCAAAAAGTGCTTACTGTGGAACAAGATAGTGCCAAGCCACACTGTGCAGGGTGTGGAACGAGATAGTGTCAGGCCACACTGTGCAGGGTGTGGAACAAGATAGTGCCAGGCCACACTGTGCAGGGTGGAACAAGATAGTGCCAGGCCACACTGTGCAGCGTGTGGAACAAGATAGTGCCAGGCCACACTGTGCAGGGTGTGGAACAAGATAGTACCAAACTACACAGTACTGGATGTGGAACAAGATAGTGTTAAGCCACACTCAGTGCTGGATGTGTAAGAAGATAGTGCCAAGCAACAGTCAGTGCTGGGTGTGGAACAAGATAGTGCCAAGCCACACTGTGCAAGGTGTGGAACAAGAGAGTGCCAAGCAACACTTCCATGTGTAGGCGCGGGTCAAGATAGTGCCACGGCCGCTGACAGATGGTGGCAAGACAGTGCCATACCACTGCCCGCCGTGCGGAGCAAGAAGGTGCTAAGCACCCAGAGCCCCGCGGGGGCAATAAAGTGCTACCAGGAGAGCCATCTGTGCTCGGGGCAAGAGGGAGCTATCATTTATGTGGTGGGTAGGGGAGGGATGTTCAATGGGTAGCGGGGGGTTGTTAGGGGGGAGGGGGGAGAAGAGCGTTGGTTCCCCAGAGGGGGAAGAAAAGGCTATCACACATGAAAGAGGAAGGGAAGGGGAGGATGGAGGGGGTGGTGGGAGGGAGCAGTTGGTGATGGTGGGGGTTGGGGGGTTTGGGTCTACTCCCCTTTTAAACTGGGAAAGAGAGAGCTATACCACTGAGGAGCCTGCTGGAGGCAGCAGCAGCAGCAGCAGAGAAAGAGGAGAAGGCGAGCAGGAGGAAGAGGATGGAGGAGGATGAAGGATAAAGGAGGAGGAGGAGCAGGAGAAAAAGAGAGAGAGAGAGAGAGAGAGAGAAGAGAGAGAGAGAGAGAGAGAGAGAGAGAGAGAGAGAGAGAGAGAGAGAGAGAGAGAGAGAGAGAGAGAGTGCTGTATTCGCTTTGCTTGTTGGAGTTCCCGGAGCAAGAAGGTCTTATCCCACACCCCCTCTGTAAAAGGGGGGAAGGAGGGAGGCAAGAACATGCCATACCCAGCGGGGTGTTCACACTCTGGGCAACAGAGTGCTATGCCCCCCTCGCCCTTACCAGCAGGTGGGGGCAAGAGAGTGGCTCTCCACACAGCCATTTGTAATGTGGGAGCAAGAGTGTGCTATCTCACTCAATGAGAGGTGACGCCAAACATCGCTAAGCTCACCAGCACTTAGTCCCTTTTTACTCCCACCTCATTATGCTTTGACGTCACCAGCGGACCTTCCAAATTATTTACCGCCAGGCGTTCTTTGTGAGCGCCAGGCGTTCTCTGTGAGCACCAGGCGTTCTCTGCGAGCACCAGGCGTTCTCTGTGAGAATCAGGCGTTCTCTTGAAGATCGTTGAACGCTAGCTCTGCAACCCCAGAACACTTATTACACATTCGTTGGTGTTGTGCAGTTTGATTCTCACTTGTTAGTGACCATTAGTGCGTTAATAAAGCTAGTATCTCTCTCTCTCTCTCTCTCTCTCTCTGGCTTTCTCATACACCCTGATAATATGCGATACGATAAAAGTAGACAGTTATCGAAAGATAGCCTCAGTGTGGCCTCCCAAGTCCTCTGGTCTCTCCCTCGTGTGGTGAGGGAGGGATGGTGGGGGTAGGGTGGGGGACATGTAGGTTGGGAGAGAGACGTGTACGTAGGTAGGGGTGAGGGAGAGAGGGAGGGAGGGAGCCTGGACACAGTGTTGATCCTGGCGTTGAACTCTACAAGTCAGTAACAATTTTGTTATGTTTATCACAAACAGATACACAACATTTGTGGCTACCACTTACCTGACCACCAACCTGACCACTTACCTGACCACCAACCTGAGCACTTACCTGACCACCAACCTGAGCACTTACCTGACCACCAACCTGAGCACTTACCTGACCACCAACCTGAGCACTTACCTGACCACCAACCTGAGCACTTACCTGACCACCAACCTGAGCACTTACCTGACCACCAACCTGACCACTTACCTGACCACCAACCTGAGCACTTACCTGACCACCAACCTGAGCACTTACCTGACCACCAACCTGAGCACTTACCTGACCACCAACCTGAGCACTTACCTGACCACCAACCTGACCACTTACCTGACCACCAACCTGAGCACTTACCTGACCACCAACCTGAGCACTTACCTGACCACCAACCTGACCACTTACCTGACCACCAACCTGAGCACTTATCTGACCACCAACCTGACCACTTACCTGACCACTTACCTGCCCACTTACCTGGCCACTTGAGCACTTACATGAGAGTGGCAAGGCTGTGCAGTATCTCACACACTGGAACAACAATTCTGTACCAATGATACTACCCACAAGACTCCACTAACATACCTATTTTTAGCGCAGTGCGCAGCAGGAGTGTAAGTGAACCCGTCCATACATCTCACCACGCCAGTGAATCGAACCCGGAAACTTCCGGATGTGACCCCCAACGCTCTGAGGAAGGGAGAGAGAATTACAAATGATGAATACAAATTTGCGCATATCGCGTATGGTAAATACAAATATATAATAGTAACTTGTCAGCATATCTCAACTAGCAATGCGAGAGTAACATGTTTGTATAACTCTACTGAGAGGTGAAGCAAGTGATGTGACTTGTATAATAACTCTACTGAGATGTGAAGCAAGTGATGTGACTGGTATAATAACTCTACTGAGAGGTGAAGCAAGTGATGTGACTGGTATAATAACTACTGAGAGGTGAAGCAAGTGATGTGACTGGTATAATAACTCTACTGAGAGGTGAAGCAAGTGATGTGACTGGTATAATAACTACTGAGAGGTGAAGCAAGTGATGTGACTGGTATAATAACTCTACTGAGAGGTGAAGCAAGTGATGTGACTGGTATAATAACTACTGAGAGGTGAAGCAAGTGATGTGACTGGTATAATAACAACCTGGTATTATATACGTATGCTGGTACAAGCAAGTGTGATCAACACTCACCAGTGACTGAGTTCTAGAAGAAATCCCACAAGAATGATAGTCTAAATGAGTCAAGCTACCAGCCTGCCTCGCCTCGCCTCGCCTCGCCTTCCTGGGGGACTCTTTCTCTTTCTCTCTCTCTCTCTCTTTCTCTACAATAAGAACATAAGAACATAAGAACGAAGGAACACTGCAGAAGGCCTACTGGCCCATGCGAGGCAGGTCCAAGTCCCTACCGGCTTAAGCCAATGCACCCAACCTATAACAAGACGCTCTTCACGATGGCAGCCTCCGAATTAAAACTCTGTTGACCACTACTCTTTTGTGTTCGATTTGTTAGGAAGTTGAAGATCCATCTCCCCTCTTTCCCAGTTTTCCTTTGCAACATCATTTTATGGGCTATTACGCCATGATCGCATTTGTCAAATGCTTTGGCAAAGTCTGTGTATATTACATCTGCATTCTGATTTTCTTCAGTGCTATCCAAGGCCTTGTCATGTGATCCAGTAGTTGTGAGAGGAAGGTAGCGACCTGCACTGAACCCATGTTGCCCTGGATTGTGAAGATTTTGGGAATCCAGGTGATTTGCAATCCTGCTTCTTAGCATCTTTCAAAGGTTTTTTATGATGTGGGAGTCAGAGCTATTGGTCTATAGTTCTTAGCTAATGCTTGCTGCCACCTTTATGGAGTGGGGCTATATCCGTTGTTTTAGTGACTGGAATTTTCACCCATGTCCCAAGGCTCCTCCTCCATAGTGTTACTTAGGACACGCAAGAGGGGTTTCTTGCAGTTCTTAATGAAAAAGTGTTCCACGAGTCTGGCCCTTATCTCTCTGTGTGTGTGTGTGTGTGTGTGTGTGTGTGTGTGTGTGTGTGTGTGTATGTGTGTTTCATCGGCCGCTAAACCCCCTTACACAGCTCCGTGAGGAGGCTATCTTTAGGAGCTTGGCAACAAGTTTGCCAATATAGGTGGAACTCGGTTAAGAGTATGTGAGGACCTAGTGTAGTAGTGCATTACGACGCCCTCATTGGCTTGGTGTCCTATTACGTCTGCTTCTGACGGATGCTTTCTCTCTGACGCACTCGCGCTTACGGTCACATTCTTAACACACCTTGACAATGACGTTCAAGATATCAACATTTCGCTCTCTCTCTCTCTTTGACGTCAATCGTTGTAAGTGGCATGACTTTGTTAGCAGTGACATTTTCACAACCTCCTTAAACACTCTCACATGCCAGCTACAATGACAGCAACAATACTCACAAACAATCATCAAGATACGATGTAGATCAGATACTCAAACACCCTCATCACTACCGCACCAACACTCACACACATTCATCAATGCATAACCCTACTGATTCCACTCATCAACTGCAAAAACACTCACTCACCATCAAAACAACACTCTCACATCATCAAAGCAAAACACTCATCATCTTAAAAAAACACTTCACATCATCAAAGCAAACACTCACATCATTAAAACAACACTCTCACATCATCAATGCTACTCGCACTTCTTTAAAGCAACACTCACCATCTATTAAAAACAAACACATCACATCATCAAAGGCAACACTCTCACCCGTCATCATCAAAGCAACACTCACATCAAAGCAACACTCACCACATCATCAACGCATCACCCCATATCAAAAGCAACACTCTCACCCAATCATCAAAAAGCAAAACACTCTCACCACATCATCAATGCAACACTCACCACCCACTTCATCAAAGCAAACACTTCACCCACATCATCAAAGCAACATTCACATCAAAGCAACACTCCTCACCCCATCAATCAAAGCAACACTCACATCAAAGCAACACTCACCCAATTCATCTAAAGCAACCCTCACATCAAACAATTTCACTCATTCAAAGACAACACTCCCACTACAAAGGCAACACTCACATCATCAAAGCAAACACTCTCCACAAACAAGCAACACTATTACATCAAACAAAGCAACACTCTACAACAACAAAGCAACACTCACAAACAAAGCAACACTCACAACAAAGCAACACTCTCTACAACAAGCAACACTCTCAACAACAAAGCAACACTCTCACACAAAGCAACACTCACATCATAAAAGGCAACACTCTCACAACAAAAGCCAACACTCTCACAACAAGCAACACTCACTAACAAAGCAAAACTCTTCATCAAAGCAACACTCTCACAACAAAGCAACTCTCTCACAACAATGCAACACTCTCACAACAAAGCAACACTCTCACCAAACAAAGCAACCATCTCACACAAAGAACTCTCCACAACAAAGAAACACTCACAACAAAGCAAAACACTCACAAACAAAGCAAAACACTTCACAACAAGCAACACTCCTCACAACAAAGCAACACTCTCCCACAAAGCTAACACTTTCACAACAAAGCAACACTCTCACATCCAAACAAAGCAAACACTCTCACGTCTACAAAGCAACACTTCACATTTCAACATAGCAACTACTCAACACAAAGCAACACTATCACAACAAAAGCAAACACTCTCACAAACAAAGCAACACTCTCACAACAAAGCAACACTCGCATTCATCAAAAGCAACACTCACATCATCAAAAACAACAACTCACAACAAAGCATCACTCACATCATCAAAACAACACTCTCCACAGAGCATCACTCACATCATCAAAACAACACTCACAACAAAGCAACACTCACCATCATCAAAACACACTCTCACACAAAGCAACACTCACATCATCAAAACAACACTCACAACAAAGCAAAACACTCTAACAACAAAGCACACTAACATTCATCAAAAGCAACACTCACAACAAAGCAACACTCTCACAACAAAAGCAACCAATTCACATCATCAAAGCAACACTCACAACAAAGCTAAATCACTCTCACACACAAAAAGCAAACAATCACATCATCAAAACACACCACTCTCACAACAAAGGCAATAACACCTCACATCATTCAAAACAACACTCTCACACACAATGACCACACTCAATCATCATAGCACACTCAAATCACTAAAGCAACCCTCTCACAACAAAGCCACACTCATCACACCAATGCAACACTCTCACAAACAAAGCAACACTACATCATCAAAAGCAAACACTCTCACAACAAAGCAACTCTCACAACAAAGCAACACTCAAATCATCAAAGCAACACACTTCACAACAAAGCAACACTCTCACACAAAGCAACACTCACATATCAAAGCAACATACATCATCAAAGCAACACTCTCACAACAAAGACTAACACTCTCACAACATAGCAACCACTCTCACAAACAAGCAACACCCTCACATCATCAAAGCACACTCTCACAAACAAAAGCATCCTCTCACAACAAAGCAACTTCACATCTTCAAAGCAACCACTCACCAACAAAGCAACACTCTCACAACTAAGCAACACTAATATCAAAGCAACACATCACATCATCAAAGCAACACTCACATCATCAAAGCAACTTCACACAAGCAACCACTCACACAAAGCAAACACTCACATTCAAAGCAACACTCACAACAAAGCAACACTCACAACAAAGCAACATCACAAAAGCAACAACTCACAAAAAAAGCAACTCTTCAACATCATCAAAGCAAAACCTCTCACAACAAAGCAACATTCTCACAACAAAGCAAACAATCACATCATCAAAGCAAACACTCTACACAACAAGCAACACTCTCACAAAAAAAGCAAACACTAACATCATCAAAAGCAAACACCTCGACATCATCATTATGCAACACTCTCGTCACTAAGCAACACTCTCACAACAAACCAACACTACTCACAACAAGCAACACTCACATCATCAAAGCAACACTCCAACAAAGGCAACACTACACAACAATGCAACACTCACATCTTCAAAGCAACACTCACAACAAAGAACACTCTCACAACAAAGCAACACTCTCATCATCAATAGCAACACTCACTCATCAAAGCAACACTCACTCCATCAAAGGCAACCTCTCACAACTAAGCAACACTAACATCATCAAAGCAATTACTATCACAACAAGCAAACACTCTCACAACAAAAGCAACACTCTCACAACAAAGCAAAACACTCTCACAACAAAGCAACACTCTCACAACAAAGCAACACTCACATCAAACAAAGCACACTAACACTCATCAAGCAACATCACAACAAAGCAACATCACAAACAAAGCAACACTCACAATCATCAAAGCAACACTCACAACAAAGCAACACTCACAACAAAGCAACACTCCAACAAAGCAACACTCACAACAAAGAACACTCACATCATCAAAGCAACACTCTCACAACAAAGCATCTTCTCACATCAATCAAAACAACACTTCACTCACATAATCAAAGAAACACACATCATCCAAGCAATCATCACTAAGTTTACTCTTTGAAAATATAAACTCTGAGTCATGGACGGGCCGCGGGGCGTTGATCCCGGAATAACTCCACCGGTAAGACTCCGTTGTA